AATAATTTCTTCCTTGAAGGCTCACTTGCTAACTCTGCAACAGTCTCTTCAGAAGCTAAGAGGGGGATAGGACTGTGCAAGACATCTGTGCCATGGGAGAAGAAGGATAAGTGGGAGGCTACTTCCTAGGTTTGCAGGCATTATTATCTTCTCCTTCAGAACCAGCAGAAGAAATTTGATTAAATGTTCAGTTTACCAGAACACAATCCATATCTTTTATTTTTGTAACTGAAGGGGGAAAAACTAAAACTATGTGTTACATATCATCATCTTACTGAAAGTCCCTGGCATTTGTTTAATTATTTCATTTATTTGCTGCATTTAAAACTGCTGCAATCACAAGAGTCTTATGATTTATGACATACGTCTGAAAAATATGCCTTTTCTCACGTATGTACCACATATGCTTTCTACCTTTCCTACCTACCACATGGGCTCACCACTCAGACCCTTTGCACACACTCAACCTATCCCACTTCATCTACCATGCACCATTGCAGTATTTCTCAAAGTGGGCAATACTGCCCCCGGGAGGTATTTGAATTATTCAGACGAGTTAGGCATTAAGGGGGTGGCAGGGGAATGTTAGACAGCAAGGGAGTGACAGGAGGGGCAATTAGGATTTTAATAACAGAAGATTACACGTAACTTATCCAATAAATTTTATTAAGTGTGTAAAACTGTAAACAATAATTATATCAAACTTTCGGATGTTTGAAATAGTATCACGCTTTGGATTGCTTTGACCACATGCTGACGACATCCCATGTGAATCATATGACTCCACTGGTTATTAGCACAACTATATGATTCACAAAAACACAAGCTGCTCACTCGGTTACACTTGGTTATTTAGAAATAAACATAACAGCTATTGAGCAATTCTATTTGAATGTAGATATATCACTGTGTTTCGGTCTTCATATTGAACTTTGTTTCATTTTAGGGAAGAATATTCAGTATATATATATATGTATATGTGTGTGTGTGTATGTATATACAGTGGTACCTCGGTTTACGAACTTAATTCGTTCCACGACTCTGGTCGCGACCTGAATTGGTCGCAACCTGAAGCAAATTTTCCCATAAGGTTCAATTTAATTACCGTTAATCCGTTCTGGCGTGGAGGACAGGGAGGCGGCTATTGCTTGGAGGGAGAGTCCCCCTCCCTACGACCACGTGTCAGGGGCAGAAAAATGACCATGGACCACATGTCAGGGGCGGAAAAATGGCCGCGGACCACATGTCGGGGCAGAAAAATGGCCGCGGACCACGTGTCAGGGGCGGAAAAATGGCCATGGACCACGTGTCACAGGCGGGAAAATGGCCACGGACCACATGTCAGGGGCGGAAAATGGCCACAGACCATGTGTCCGGGGCGGAAAAATGGCCGCGGACCACGTGTCACGGGAGGGAAAATGGCCACGTATCCTGTTCGTACCCTGAGGCGGAGTTCGCAAACCGAAGCAAAATTTTGCAGCCGGAGCTGGTCGTAACCCAAAATGTTCGTTAACAGAAGCGTTCGTAACCTGAGGTTCCACTGTATATGTTTTTAATTTTAATTCTATGTATATTTGTACATTAAAATCAGAAGTTGTTGAACATGTTGATTTATAACTTCTGCTTATGGATATTAAACCTAATATTGATATGCTAATAAATCTCCACCAAGCCCATTCATCACTTTAAATATTAAAATATTATTAAATCACTTATTAGTAGTATTACTTATTATTACTATGATGACTTAACTATATTTGTAACTATATCTATGACTTAATTGTAATTGTAATTGTCTGCAAAGAAAAAATAAATGTGCAATAAATAATTTTAAAAAATTATAATTCACATACATGCAGGACAGGGGGTGTTACGAAAAACTTGATACAACTAAGGGGACAGTGGCCAAAAAAAGTTTGAGAAATGCTGTCTAGCACTATTCATGCATTGCTTTTCCATTATCTACTCATTGCCTGTGCTCAGGCTCTCCTGCTTTCTTGGTCCTGCCCTGCTTGCTTACCACAGTCTTTCCCATCCATTAAATGTGCTTGGCCTATACCATCAAAAATCACATTTGATCAGCTTTTGTCTCTATTTTTATCTTAATTCTCTATGTTAAAGATCCACAAAAGAAAATAACAAATACAAATATTGTTATTTTGATAGGAACAATAAAATGGAATGGATTTATAGTAACTTGCAAGGCCTTAAATCCTGCAACCTCCAAAGCTGAAGGAAAAATGAAATTTGGCAACAAATCAGCAGCTTGTTTTTCTTTAAGAGAAACAAGTTGTGTTACTTTAGGAGTTTTTAAATGTTTTATATAATCTAATAGTCCTAAAAAATTAAAGAAAACATCCTAATAATTCCCAGAAGCCCCAACGGAAAAAAATCAAAAATTTCTGTTCTTGCTCTCTTATATGACATATGACACTATAGTTCTCAGTGCCAAACACCCATAAGTGTGCAAAATGCTTCCTGTTTGTTTAAATTCTGACCTTCTGAAAATAACTGCACCCATGAAATATCATTGTAGAAATGACAGGTAATGTATAAAACAATTACTATATATCTATCTCTATCTCTGCCTTCAAGTCAGTGCTGACTCCTGCCAATTGCTTGGAAAAGTCCCTGCAATTTTCTTGGCAAGATTTTTGGAAGTGGTTTGCTCTTCCTAAGGCTGAGAGTCAGCCACTAGCCCAAAGTCACCCTACTGGCTTCATGCCTAAGGCAGAACTAGAACTCATAGTCTCCCAGTTTCTAGCCTGGTGCCTTAGCCACTATACCAAACTGGCTCTCATATATAATATATAATAAATTCACACACAAAAAAGTTGCCTCCAATAAATACTATCCTGGGCATCGCTGGTTTGGGGTATTCAAATACAAATTGTATTTCATCAGCTAAATGAAAGCCTTACTGAAAAGTTCCAAGTCAGTAATCTTCCTCTGCAGAAACTCAGAAGCAAGATGTTCATACTTCACAAAAAATAAGTGACAACCTGAAAACCTGTAAGGGTATAACTAACATGTTCTTCATGTGCTCTGTAAATATCATATGACCTGAATAAAATGTAAGCAACCTTGGAAGCCCTGGAAAAGGGGCTTGATAATCTACAGCACATGGAAGTCCATGTAAGAAATATACTGTGGGTAAGGAAAGCTTTTCAGCCAGAATTGGAACATAAGGGTTCCAAAAATCTTCCCAAGAAAATTGCAGAGTCTGAAAATATCACATAAAAGTTGCTGTCAGAACCTGCAGGTTGTTAACCTGCATTAACAACCTGAACAGTTGTTAATTTACAAAGCATAGCAGTCAATGGGAGTTTGATTGATTTGCTTCTGCCAATTGTAGGCTAGTAGTTAATGGTTGTAATAGGAGTAGTAATGGGAGATGGTGAGGAGCCTAACCTTATATGGGCAATGAGGCTGGGCCTGATTGCAGACAAGGCCAGTGGGGGCCTGATGGCCAGGAAGGAGCTATGTATCCCTGGAAGGAAGGAAAGAGGTCACCACCAGGTGAAGAGGAATTGAGGCACCAGGGCAACAAGGGGAGGGGGGATAAATAGAGGGAAGTTTACCCAGGCTTTAGTTTTAGCAATGCTTTGTGTGAAACAAAGCATGTACCACACAATAAAGGAGCATTTATCTGAACCAGGCCTGGTT